GGAATTTGAGATCCTCCACCTCAGATGGCTGCTGTTCAGAAATTCTCGCTGGCTCCTGCATAACACATTTGGGAACCTCATCGCTGGGTGCCGTCCGTTTCAGAATTCCCGTCCCCCAGAAGCCCCTCTCTCTTTTGACACCGTCACGTTTCAGCTCTCAGCGGAGCTCAAACCTCCTTCTCCCACAGACTGTGAGCGCAGGAGGGTCTCCCCAGTCCTTGGGGGACGGCACTGTTCAGAAATTCTCGCTGGCTCCTGCATAACACATTTGGGAACCTCATCGCTGGGTGCCGTCCGTTTCAGAATTCCCGTCCCCCAGAAGCCCCTCTCTCTTTTGACACCGTCACGTTTCAGCTCTCAGCGGAGCTCAAACCTCCTTCTCCCACAGACTGTGAGCGCAGGAGGGTCTCCCCAGTCCTTGGGGGACGGCAGGAGACAGAACACTTGCATCAGACATCGCTTCCCCCTGTGATCTCCACACTGCCTGTTCATGCCGGTGGAATTACAACTCTTTGTTGCCTTTACCTCTGTATCGACGTAACTTGGAGGCAAACCCAAGTGAAATAAAGTCTAATAAACACTTCTGTATCAATAATGACCCAAAAGAAGCAGGTTTGGGCAAAACCAACGCATGAATACGTGCTACTCGAAAGCAGGGACAGCTCAGTTCCCTGCATCTGAAGGGCATGGACGTCCTGTGTCAGGTCCCCAAGGCTCAACACCGACCTCTGCTGTGCAGCACCCACCCGGACAGACGGGGCCTGACCAGAGCCCATGCTCCCCACCCGACCCCCCTCACCCAGCTCCTGCCCCCACCAGCGAGCGCTCTCCTCCCCCACGCCACGCCGAAGCCACCTCACCAAGTCCAACGCTCCCGCTCGGCATCCCCTCGGACAGACCCGGCGCACCCGCGTGTCCGCACCCGTGTTCCGTGCCCGGCCGCACCTCTGGCCGCGCAGAGGGACAGCCAGCGCGGCGCCACCCCAGGGACCCCGGGCAGACGGGCGCGAGGAGCCACCCTAGACCTGCCAGGCGGGTGGGCCTCTGTCTGCCTACAGCACGCCACGGCAGGGCAACCCCCCCGTACGCGCTGCAGAACCCCCCAGCCATACCTACCCTCCACAAGGGTATTCGTCAACCCAGTCATTACGCTGTTGGTTCGGTCCTTTCTTCCATAGGACGCGTTCACCTGATCCATCGAGACCAAGAGAGACCCACCAGGTTTCTTCCTAATTTCGATTTCAGTAGTACCCTGCAAAATTCGTGTGATGATTAATATAAACTCTTCCGTCTTCCCAGCGTCTCACATACTCTCAGCCTAGAAATATGGCACGTATGCCCAGGAGAGAAAAACATCTTTGTTCCTGCTACCCTTCTCGCTTTCCCGCATTATGTAAGTGGTCAAACCCCAACTCAAGCCCTCATTTCTGCCAGCACCAGTGCTCCGCAGCCTTAGACAAAGTAAGGACTAGATTTTAAAGCACATGTCTAACGAAGACGGCTGTAGTAACTCTGCAGGGCTACCGAACAGCGCAGAGGGGCAGTGACTCTTTTCGCTAGGCCACTTCACAACCCATCTGGCCAGAGTGTGAACCCAGCCTCATCGGAGCCACCCAAATCAATGAGGTTTAGGAACTGAGCATTGGACAGTATCAACCTTTATTTAAAAATCTGCATCTGAATATGAGGATAAAAGCAGCTCAGCCACATCACTGTCTGAGAACTAGTGGGGATTTCTCCTTCTCTAGCCCACTGTGAAGCTGATTCTCTAACACAACCGGGAGAGGAAACCACCTCTCGATTTCACCCCTTGATTGTTTGTATTTCCCTTTAAATCTCCCGATATTTTATCTTATTGTGGAGAACATTTGCCACAAACGTTGGTTGGTTTCCCCATTCTCATGCTCTAAACAGCTTGTTATGGATTGCCCCGACATACACCCAGGGTTCCTGCTACTATTAGTCCGTTAATTAGGGACTCAGATCCAAGCCTTTTTTCCCCAGGAAGCTGGGTCACAGATTGGAGAAGCAAAGAGAGGGGAAGTCAAAGCACGGGGCGTTCAACCCTTGATCAGCTGCGGTCAGACAGACCGACTCCCGCTCCGCCTGGCTCACTCGAGGGCGGCCACGGGAGAGGAGAAGGGGACACGCCGCCTCGCCTGCGCTACCTGCTCCTCGACCTCCTCACGCTGCCATGGGCAGCTGCCTGATCCATCCTCACCTCGGGCAGGAGGCGGCCCCCGGGCATGCTGG